AACAGGCTACACTTGTGAGGTATGTCTCAAATCTATCTATCTATCGATCTATATATACACACTAATAAGAAATATTAAAGTAACATTTTCCTTTAATATTCTGTAATGAAGGAGATCCCAGTAATCGCAGACAAAAGTTGTGAAATGGCTCCATTAAACCGACATCTGCTCAGGGGCCAGTGGAAGAGCCTCTTTTCCTTATAACGGAGGAAGAGGACGAGGCCCTCAACAATCTCCTGGAACAGAAGTTTCCAGAGTGCCCTTCATATTTCATCTTGTGTTCAGGGGAGTTATTTTTGTAGGGGTGTCATAACAAAATGTGCCCAAGAGTGAATCGTTCATTTTGCAAGTTTTCATGCAGGATTGTCACGACAAAATGGGCTTAATAGTGAATTGTTCATTTTATAAACTTCAATTTAATTATTGTGTACATTTGGATGGTTACTTTTAAAATGATGCTGCTGTTTATTGAAATGTTTTAGTTTTCATATATAAAAATGCATGATGCACGTGTTCTTGACTTGTCTTGGAGTAAACATTTATTTTGAATCTTGTGATTAAAGTATATTTCATATAAAATGCCCAGAAGTTTCAAACATTATTTTTAATATCACAAACAGGAAATTACTCGCATAATACAATGAAACGAATAACTGTATAGGTCTACACCTAAATTACACAAGATTAATGTTTATAAAATGCGTAATATGTCATTATAAAATGCATACATAAAGTATGACGTATCGTGTGTAAGGTGGCGCTACTCTGTTAAATAATGTAAGCTCCTCGCCTCACTCCCGGTTCTGAAAGTGCTGGTGCTGCGGGTCTGCAGCTGGATACTACTGAAACCTTACTGTTAATAAAAATAACAATTTGGTCCCTCGATATTCTCTTTGCCACCGTGAAATTTTCTCAGTCTCTCCAAGTGTAAATAAATACGGCCGGGAAGTAAGAAAACACACAGTCCATGTATTCTCAATACTTCAATTTATTCACAGAAATACAGATCTTATATAGGCATGTCGAGGGGAGTTTTTACCCTCTTAACCAATGAGGATAGGGTGACATACCCATACAGGATGTTTTTCCCAAGAACATGTGTTTTGTATAAAATTGCCACATATACAGAAAAACATATCCATATAAGGAATAGACTTCCTTTACCTTGAATATTGCGTAAGAGACATTCAAACACCATACAAGAGAGAGAGAGAACAGATAGAGGAGGGGTGATTCAGAGAAGGAGAGAGAAAGAGACAGAAAGGAGGGGTACGGCATCAAAAGACAGAGAGTGTTTTCTAACAGTGACGCGTAGGGCCTCCTTTTCCGAATAAAGCTTCTCTGTGGATGAAATAAAGAGCCTTTCACACTTGCTTAAAGGACCTAATAGAAACCAACGCCACGTGACGCGGCGCCCCCATACTGCAGCATGTGCCTTTCTGCGGAGCACACGCAGCTACGCAGCTTGAATGGTGTTGACTGTAATATGTATGGACAATAATCTTTATTTAAAATTAAGACTATCCGTGTCTGCGTG